CCTCTCACTGTCAGTCTCTGTCTCCCTCTCCAGTAAGCACACAAGTCCTGAGGGGGGGAAAAAACTTCAAAAATGAACCTGGGGGACAGCAGGTGGCACAGTGGTTATAGCACTGGACTGTCACATGGCTGATCACAATTTTAGTCGCAGACCTGGTGGCTTGAAATTTACACAATGGGGGCCAGCGGGTGGCATGGTCATTAAGGCATTGGACACTCCCACATGGCCAACAGTGGTTCAAGTCCCAGATCTGGTGGCTTGCTTTTTCTCCCCTTTCTCTCACTTTCTATGTGTGTGTGTGTGTGTGTTTGTGTGTGTGTGTGAGAGAGAGAGACTGGTCAAATTAAAATAAATGAATGAATGAATAAATAAATTAAATTAAATAATAATTTTTTTTGAAAAAAGTTACACAAGGGGGTCCAGCAGGTGGCATGGTGGTTACGGTGCTGGACACTCCCACATGACAGTTTGAGTCCTGGACCTGGTGGTTTGCTTTCTCACTTCCTCTCTCTCTCTGTTAAATTTAAAATAAATGAACAAAATTAAATAAATAATTCTTTAAAAAAAAAAAAATTTACACAAGGCAGAGGGGGCTGGCAGGTGGCACGGTGCTTGTGCACTGAGCTCCCACATGGCTGACAACAGTTTGAGTCCCAGACCTGGCAGCTTGTTCTCTCACTTTCCTTCTTTATCTGCCTCTCCCTGGTGAATGCATGTGCACTATAGCAAACAAAATAATAATTATACATATAAAATTTATTTTTAAAAAAGTTACACAAGGCACATGTGTATGTGTGCTCAAAATCTCAGAAGAACGGAGATGCACTGCAGAGTGACTATGCCCCCGGAAGGTGATATCTCACTTTCCCTCTCACTGTCTCCTGTCTCTCTCTCTCCAGAGTGCACAAGCCCTATGGCAAAAACCTTAAAGAACTTCGGGGGCCCAGCAGGTGTTGTGGTAGTTAAGGCGCTGGACTCCCACGTGGTTGACCACAATTCAAATCCCAGACCTTGAGGCTTTCTCTCTCTCTCACTCACACATGTACCCAGAACAAACTTTAAAATAAATTAAAAAATAGTTATTTTAAAAAGTGATCTTCAATGGTCCTTCATCACCTTGTATCTCGACTCTACCTGAAAAACACAAAGTAAAAAAAGCAGATACTGGACTGGTTTTAGAAAGACAAATTTGGTCTCTGACCATTTGCCGACTGCACATCATGTACCACAGTTTAGAGTTGATGGTAGATTAAAGGGGCCACCAGGTGGTGTGAAGGTTAAGACTGGGTCCCACATGTCCGGGTGTGCAGCGTGAGTCCCCGTCATGGCAGCCTGAAAAAGACACCAAGTGCATTCTCCTGAGGGAGAGAATGGACAAGGGGATGTGGCGTGGTCATCCACTCTGGGGGTGCCTTTCGCTTTCCCTGTCTCTCTCCTGTGAGTGCATGCGCCCAACAGTGAAAACCTGAAATTTTCAAGGGCACAACTTCCCTATCACCAGAATTAAAATGCTTTTCCCAATTAAGGCTGGCACCAGGCTTCTAGTCCTTCTAAGCAACTAAGGACTCCAACCAAACTCATCCTTCGTTGGGGGTTGAGGGGAAGCACAGCTGAATATGATGCCAGTCTTCTAAGTTAAAGGCTTAGCCATGGGGCCAGCAGGTGGCATGGTGGTTAAGGGCGCTGAACTCCCACATGCCTGACCATGGTTCGAGTCCCAGACCTGGCGACTTGCTTTCTCACTTTCCCCCCCCTCCTCTCTCTCTCATTCTGTCCTTTTCTTGTCAAAAATAAATAAATAAATAAATAAATAAAGTTAAATTTAAAAAAATAAAGGCTTAGACAAGAAGGGAGGAAAGATGTTAAAAACTGCTAACTCGGGACGAGCAGTTAGCGTAATGGCTATGTCACTGGACTCCCATGTAGTCGACCGCAGTTCGAGTCCCGGACCTGGCGGTTTAAACTCACACCAGGCATGTGTGCGTGCGTGCCCAAGATCCCAAGAGGAGAATGGAGAAGGGATTGCGGCGTGGCCATTCCCCCTGGGGGGTGATTTCTCCCTTTCTGTCTGTCTCTGTCTGTCTGGCGAGCGCACGTGCCCTGTAGCAAAAACCTCTCAAAAAAAAAAAAAAAAACTGAAATAACTCAGGGCCAGCAGGTGGTCTGGTGGTTAAGACAGCTGGATCCCATATGGCTGACTACACAGTTCGAGTCCCGGATCAGCAGCTGGAAACACACACTGGGTGTGTGTGCATGTGTGTGCACAGAATCCCAAAAGGACAATGAAGAAAGGATGAAGCAATCCTGTGAGGAATGCTTTCTCATCCCTTTCCTGCATGCGCCCTCTAGCTAAAAACTGATTTAATTCTCGTTGTCTTAATAATCAAGACAGGTCATTTATTGATTTATTTATCTATTCTTTAATTTGCTATGACCACGTGTGCTCAACAGAGAGAAAGTGAGAAAGCAAGCCACGGGGTCCAAGACTGAAGCCACGTGAGCCATGTGGGAATCCAGCGCCACAGCCATTATGCCACCTGCTGGACCCAAGACAAAGTTCTGAATGCAGTTCAAGTAAATAAAAAGCTGTGTTGGCTACCATGACTTATTCTCCTCTAGGGGATGGGTATCTATTTTGAACGTCTACTTGTAGGATACAAGGTTTATAACACAAACTCTGACTGTAATGGTGTGGCAGGTGCCCATCCTAGTAAGGGACAGGGAAGAGCACCCCAAACGGTAAGACAGCAAGCCAAATCAGGAGCTTCATCTGCATTCTTACTCCGGACAAACCAGAGAGACAGAGCATGTGATGGCAGTTTGATGTCTTCATGTTTGCTATTCCAACCACCTTGGTACTGAAACAAATATTGATAAATCTTTTTCCAACAAGTCTGTGGATAAATACACTAGGCAAACAAATTTTCCTTAAAGTGGTTTTCAAACAGATGATCTCCAAATCTAAGGCTTCCAAACTACAATAAATACTATTCCAAGTCCCATTTGTGTTTTTAAACAATGGTTTCATTCAACCTTATTTATTTTCATTTGACCAGAGAGAGAAAGAGAAAGTGAGAAAGCAAGTCTCCAGGTCCGGGTCTCGAACTGGTGTTGGCCATGTGGGAGTCCTGTGCCCTGAAATACCACACCGCCTGCCAGCCATGAGTCCCACATTTTTTTTTAAGTCCAAGTCAACTTACTTCCAGACTTTCCTCCTCAGTGACAGATGTTCTAGCAAAAAGTTACAACATATTAAAGTCTATTTATGGGGATAACCAGGTGCCATAAATGGTCCCTGACTGGACACTGGTTGAGACAGAGGTTCTATTATATTTTAGGGCCAATGGGGAAATACGAACACATTCCAAAATCTACCTGACATGAAAAAGGCTCCTTACAGAACCAGACATACAGTACCATTCGCTTTGATTAAAACGTGCACGCACAGACAACTCTGGAAAGAGAGTGGTGGTCTCTGTATGGTAGGAATATTTTTCTTTACATCTCTGTAGTTTCTCATTTTCAACCATGTACATTTAACATTACTTCTGTAATAACTTTCTCATGCCCCTAAGGGCTCCTTAAAAATCAAAAATCACTACGGTGTCTACTGTAGATGAGACACAGGTATCTGCTTTAATGTTCACCAAGTCCTCCAAGTCTCAGTTCATCCTTCCTCCAAACCTCTGGGCTAAGCAACAGTTTGTTCCTAACACACATTTCTTTGAACTCCAAAAAGCATCCTCTGGCTTCGCTCTAAAGCACATTTATTTGTATTCTCTCCCAACCTCAGTAACTAATATTTAGAATAAAACAATCCTGGGCCAGCTGGTGGCTGGTGGTTAAAGCACCCAGATCCCGGGAGCAGTTCAAGTCCTGAGTCTGGCACCCAGCCTCTTGAAAAACACTTGAGTACGTGGGCTTGCCAGCGTGGAGCAGACATTGCTGCAAGGTCATCCCCCCTGGTGGGGGGGAGTAATTTCTCACTACTTCCTCACTTCCACCCCCCAGGACCACAAACCCAGAACACACTGCCCTATAGCAAAAACTTAAAAACACACTTCTAAAGTCGGAAAACCTGTCCCGCCACATTGGGGAAACTAGTATGATGGGATTTTTTTTTTTTCCCTTCTTAAATGAATTGTTAAAATCTCTATGTGACCCACCGGACTTACTATTACAGAAAATGCCTTTGATCTTTCAGATAGATTCAAGTTCAAGTTCAAGTTCTACTGCATGTTCAGGACTCCCATTATCTCTACTGAAACAGGCAGAAAGGACGTATGGGGAAACGTAACACTTCAATGGCTGCAAATTAAATCTCTTCTTGATGATGAAATGAAAATATCAGATCAAATCCTTATCCACTTATGCAAACTTAAATATGGCAACTAATCATGGGAAAGCCAGCTGATTGAAAAGCGCAGCAAATGGACTACGATGTTTGGGATAAAAGGGCGATAAAAATTCTGAGTTGCACACATTTGCAGAGAAAGTGAGTGGTACCCACAGAACACCCCAGGTAGGTCACCCACATCCTGTTCGCCCTTACTACAACACCTCAAGTGTTAAGTTGGTGTAAGTATGGTTTCACTAAATGCTTCCCTTCTAGAAGTGAAGATGTCTCGATTAGCTGTGACTTGATCAAAATGCAACTTACTACACAATGTCTAACCATTGGTGAGGAACTACCTGCACGGCTTTCAAAGAAAATTCCTCCTCTTAAAACTAGTTCATTAGCTTTTGAAAGGTATTTGCCTTGAGCTACAAGTAGCTAGAGAGCCAGCCTCCACAGGAGATATGCTAAAACAGAAAAATAGTTCATCGAATAAAAACCTTTGGGAAGGAAACCCCTAAGCACTCCCGTTAAGGCAAACCTCAGATCCTCTCCTACTTCCTTAAAACTGTAGTCGGCTCATGTCATTCACAGTAACTCTCATTCTACAATAAAGAAAAATGATGCCCTCTTGGCCGGAGTCAACAGGGCGACAGACCCTCACCCTGCCGAGGCGAGGTGGGGCGCCTGCTTCCTCGATAGCAGAAGACCAGCCAAAGCTGCTTTTAAACGGTCTCCGGGTGACGACGCATTCCTAACGGGTTTCGAAGGCACGTTTAAATCGCCCGCTTTTTTGTTTGCTAGCTGCATTCACCCGGCAACGGGGCTGGGGCCGCCCCCGTGCGCCACGGAGGGGCGATCTCCGGATGGGAGGCCACGGACCGGGGTAGCGGGGCGCAGAGGCCCCAGCGTGGGTGGGTGGGGGAGCTCCCCGGCCGGGGGGCCCCGAGAGCCGAGGGTGGAGGACCGGCGGCAGAGAGCCCGTGCGGGAGGGCGGGAGAGTGCGAGGGGAGGTGGGTCGGAGCGAGGGGGCTGAGGTCCCCGAGGGGGGACCCCGGGGAGGGAGCC